TTCTGCTCAATTGGTTTCTAGATCTTTCCCATTGTTCTCTTTTTATTGCGTGATTGCATACATTGCTATGATTTAGCTTATTTGTAGACCTTATTGTATTAGAGGATGCAATTTTAGAATTGTCCTCTAGCCAATGTAAATGACACTTGTACTGACTACTTTGTATTTCCTTCTCACTTATTGTTAGGAATTTGATGAAGACAGTTTTAGTTTTCCAGTGTTGGTTTGTAGGGATTTGATTAGTTACAGGATTTCAGCATGAGCTGACATCAGTTAGAGAACCATTGGAAAACCTGGGAGTACTGGACAGCTGTTTCGTCCTAGTTTGGGACTCTTCATCAGTACGCACCCACCGGGATTCGAACCCAGGACCTTCAGGTTACAAGGCGAGCTCATATACCATTAAGCCACTGGGACCCGATCCAATGGTCCATGAATTCTAACTTCTGCCAATTCACGACATAGCGCGACCCCTATCCAATGTCTTCGGCGAGTATTTGTCCTCACGCCCGACCTGCTACACCCTACTGGTCACGACTTTGTTTGTTTACTAGACTATAAAAACTCTTTAAATAACAATGTTTATTTTCATGAGAGTTAGTCAATTCGATTGGTGGTAATATATTACATAATGTGACGACAATTCTACTTAAAGTTTATGATGTACTTTTTGTGTATGATAGCAGGAAATAATTTAAATCTCCTCTTTGTGATGTTGCCTTGATTATAAACATACATTATGCCTGTTCTACATCTATTGCTAATCATTTACTGGCAAAGTTAAACTTTAAGCACCACTTACTACCAATGGAGTGCGATTGCACCATTGACCTTGAATGGGTCCAATGAGTTTCACCCACGTGAGTTGAAGCTTCAATTCCGCTTGATTCGCGTCAAATACCTGCTGTAACGCAGTTGCGCTTACAATTTGGTCAGGATAAGGTTTTCCAGTATTGTTCGGATGTGGGGTTGATTAGGAAAGAAAGGAGGTGTTATGAGTATAAAAAGCTTCAGCAGGTCAGTTGATGGATACGTCCATCGTTTTGCAATTTGTTTGAGACGAGTTAGTGTCAGGAAAGGTAAGCTGATGATTCTAATATTTCGTAGGAACATTTTTCGCCAGGTCCCATTTGTCCTTAACCCAGACTTTGTATATTTGTAATTACTGGGTTTTAAAACAGCCTATGAGAGGTGCAGCTGCTGAAACTGAAAATAGTCTCTCGTATCAACAGTTCAGTAGTACCAATACTGCATGGGTATCGCATCCTGAAAAATGGAGAGGCTTACTTGGTTATTGAGAGGAGTAGGCGACGTCGTACATGTGGATAAAACTACCTTATTAAAGAAAAAATATAACCGTGGTCGAGAACAAGCGAATAATGTTTGTGTGATTGGTTTATATGATACCTCTCTACAGAAAGGATTCGTCGAGAGGATAGCACTGCAGTGACACACACCAATTTTATAGAAGCCTTTTGGGGAATGGATCTCAAAAGGATGTCATTTCTATTCATTTAGATCAATATATGTATAGGATGTAATGTAAATTTTCAGTTGATACTCCTATGCTAAACCGGGAGATGTTTTTATCACATGTGAGAGAAATATATCGTATGTAACTGTTTTAAACAGTTTTTATGCATTTTTTCATAAATATATGGATTCCATACCCGAAAATGCCTCTTTCATTTGATTAATGCGTTCAAGGTCATTTGCTGGTTGGTAGTTAGTGGAGCTTAAAGTTTAACTTTGCCCATTTACTTACAAAACCTTATGTATTTCTGTGTAATTTGTTCATGACAGCTCTTGTGTAACGAAGTTTATGTTATGTTTTACGTTTCACTTCACAGGATTTCAGTTTTACTGGTTAATTTTTCCGTCCATGTATTTAGTTTACTATGTAATGGTTCTAATGTGTGTAGTTTTTGTAGGCAGTAGTTTTTAAACATCTCTTTCGTTTCTTTTTATTTTATACCCCGGCATAGTTGAAGCTTTTTATCCTTTGTTACAGGTTGATTGAATTTCACCTAAATATACTCTTACTACTTGGGAGATGTAAATTCACCACCCAGATTTCCTCCCCCGATATGTCGAGATATATTTCCTATTATGATCTCTCTTTTTTGTCACAGTTGGAAACACTAATGTCATCAAGGTGGCTGGTTGCAAGTCATTTGAACCCTTAGTTGTGGCAATATCGCCGGTTAGAAGTTTTTCAAAGAAACTCGACTTCTAAAGTTTTCTAAACTGGATGAATTAAAGGGTAAACTACATACAATTAAAATATTGATGAAAGTAAGTAGCTGTGACGGAACCTATTCATCATGCAGAGATGAACTGAATTCTAAACAAAAAATCACATTATCAACAAACACACAAATTCAGGTGTTGGTTTGCAGGGATTTGATTGGTTTCAGGATTTCCTCATGAATTGACATCGGTTAGAAGACCACTGGACCATGATGAAATCCTGCAACCAATCTGATGCCCACTAGTGACTGGTCCAATTTAATTGGGTAGTTACCTCGGTTCTAGGGGGAAGTCGTGACCATTGGGGTACAGCGGGTCGCGTGTGAGGTCAAATACTCGTCGATAACATTGGCTATTGATCGTGCCATATCAAGAATTGGCAGAAGTTGGAATCGACGGACCGTGGGATCGGGTCCCAGTGGCTTAGCGATCTACGAGCTCCCCTTGTAACCAGAAGGTCGGAGGTTCGAAACCCAGTGGGTGCGTGCTGATGAAGAATGCTAAGCTGAGACGAAACAGCTGTCTCACAGTACTCGCACGTTTTCCAGTCATCCTCTAACCGATGCCAGTTCATGATGAAACCCTGAAACACACAAATTATTAGTCGCCTATTAACAGGATTCGGTAGTATATCAGTTTGTGTTTTGAATAGGTTATGTTTACATCAGTGCGTCGGTGGTACGGCGGTAGAATGCTCACCAACCACGCATATGATTCGGGTTCGATTCCAGGCCGACGCACTCCTTTACCTCTCTAAGCCAGTAATAAGACTGGTAAAGAGGGAAGGTTGGGCATGAGGCTAGCAACTCCATCCCGTGAAAGTAAACACCACTGCTGCCGAAACTTGAAAGCTCTAGCTTGAAACCGTATGTTCCCCTGGGAACGAAATGGAATGTTTTAAAAAATGTTTACATCATCTATCTATAAAAATGTTCTAGAATGCTTCTCTCAGTATTATATATGAAACGCAAAGTGAAATGCAACACTTTAGACACTAGCACTTCTGGATAAAATTCTGCAAGATTCTTATTGCACTAACAGAGCAACACCATGTGTTAACCAGATTATCAAGACTCAATCTCCAGCCGGGTCGATAGTTGACTAAGAAGTCAAATTTGTAGGAATTTGATTAGCTTCCTGAAAGAAAGGCTAATTCACTGCTCAGTGGTTGCTAACTACAAGATAATTTTCTTAGAATTTTGATGGAAAGTCGTGTCAAATAAAGCCCACTAGATTGAGTAATCTGTCTGTCTGGATTCAACATAGAACTTGGCACCGAAGTGCAGCAGTTCGAATTGCCACGTTCCAAATAGCACACAAAGGTAGATAAGAAGATGAGTAAAGAGAATCAATAGGGTTTTAACAAGTATAAGAGTGAAAAAGAATGAGTAATGGTGGAAAGGAATATGAAAGATTACAGAGACTGAATACATCTGCGCCATTGACAACGATTTTGAGCCATGTCACCTATTGTCTCCAGCCTTCATTGATTCTTAGAGTCGCGAGGGTGGGCCCCAACCCGGAAGTCTGCATCTCCCTCCCTACCTGACTCAGTTTAACTGTCAAGGATTTCATGGATTGATGAGGCCATGTTTTTGTTTGGCCACTACTTACTTTTTTCCAACCTGCACCTATATGAGCTAGTAATGCCCGTCGGAGTGGGGGAGGCCATGGTTAGGCATGCGCAGCATGTGACCTAGCCATCTCAATCTATGTAACTTTATAGCCTCTTTGATTGATTTTCCCCCTTTGCCCAACACTACGCCTAACTTCAACATTACTTACCTTATTATACCACCTAACGTGAGAAAGAGATCGTAGACATCTATGGTCAAAAACAGTCAACCTTTTCATGTCTTCAACTCGTATTGGCCATGTTTCAGATTCATAGAGAAGGACGGAGCGAATTGCTGAGCAGTACACACGTCCCTTGGTTGATAGCCGGATGTCACGCCTACGACAGAGATGGTGTAAGTTAGCGAAAGCAGCTCGAGCTTTTTGGATCCGAGATTGAGGAATATGAAAACAGTTGTTCCTCAAGGATGATAATGGACAGTAATGGTGTTACTTCACAAGTAGACAGAAGTTAAAATAAATTAACCAGTGAATTCCAACTTGATGGTTAATTTGGAAACATTCACACCGCGTAATTCGAAGATCTTCAGTTCTATTCCTGGTGTGGTTGAAGAGTCCCAGATTGGATCGAAACAACTGTCCAATGTCCTTTATTAACAGGTAGTTTTCTGACTAACCTTAGCACGTAGCTAAGAGCTTACTGTTGGTGGTGAGAAGATAGTTGAAGATACTTTATATCATATGAACTATTTTCATTTATAGACTCATGACGGGAGTTACCACCTGGTATCCAATCAAAGTATTCGTTAAAGTTCTGCTGAAGTAGGTCAGTCGCGAGCTGAAATATCACAGTGGTAACATCTCTTACTGTAGCAATGGGTGACCCGTATTCGAATCTCAGAAGGGACATAAGTTTCTATGTAGATTTTATGAATTCGCCTTGCCAATGAGTACCAATAAGCATAAGATCTAGGTTTAAGGCTTCCTGCTAATTGCTTCCAACCATCTAACAATTTTTAAGACTGAACTAATTACTCAACTATAAATGATCACTTGAACTTTTCCTGTATTGACGATATGTCCATTGGTTGGTTAAAACTTTTTTCTATGGGGATGGTGGGGGCGGGGGAAGGCTTATTTATTCTAATTCTACTTTTGTTTTCCTTCATATTTAGACAAATGATGGTTCTTGTTCGCTTATGACAAGATATGAGAATTGGTTCAAAATTTTAAATTTAGCAGCTTGTTGTTTACAACGTGTATTTTTACAATCATCTCTTCTTCATCATCGTCTTCCCAATAAATCAAATAATCAATTAAAACGATTTAATAAAACTCTAACGTGTGATTTAAAGTTGTATATGACCAAATTGAAGATAACCAATGATTGGTGGCCAGTTTTAATGAATATGTTTGTCTGCAGTCTACGTGGTATGTGGTTAGAATGTATCAGTACAAATGAGGTAAGTGATGGATGTTTTTTTTCGTTTTTATCACTAATAATTGTTGTTCAAATAGGAATTAACAACTTTTATTGTTAGTCATTTTGATGTTTTGACCACTATACAACACGCTGATGCGATTGTCGAATGACATCATACGCCAGGCATATCCTCGAGTGGAACTCTAATGGGGAACGAAGAGTTGGGCGTCTGAGGGTGAAATGGAAGAAATCAGAGACTATGGACAATCGTGGGGTCAGCTGAAGAGAACCGCAAAGAATAGGATAAAATGGGGACGTTCTGTTGAAGCTTTACGTTCCACTCGGAACCCAAGGGAACAATACTAATAATATACAACAGATAGGAAGTAGTACAGTATTCTATGTAAAGTGATGAGAGACAAATCAGTACATAGAGAGCTTTCGAATAGAGGTAGGCCGTTTCATTTCTCTGTTCTACTTAAACAGTAATAAAAAAACAGTTTGAAACACATGAGTGAGAATAAGTGATATATATATATATATATGTATATATAGGAACATAGGGCTTCAGCCGCACATCTCCATTGCGTTCGGTTCTCTGCCAACGTTTTAGCCTGGATCCACGTTTGCCCACATGTTTTCATCTCCTCTTGACATGACCTCCTCCATGTCATCTGCGCACTGACGACCAACTCGCCGCTTCCCGTTCGGGTTCCACTCGAAAGCCTGTTGTGTGATGTCACTTGGTGGTTTTCTCAGAGTATGGCCAATCCACCTCCATTTCTTCCTGCTTATTTGTTGCACAATCGGTTCCTGGTTGGTTCGCTTCCAGAGATCCCTGTTGCTGATTTTTCCTCGCCGGCTACCTGATCTTGAGCATTGAGCGAAGATAGCTGTTGACGAAGGTCTGTAGTTTGTTTGAGGTGCTCTTCATGACGTGCCAAGTCTCTGATCCATGAAGTGCATATATATATATAATCTATTGCTTGCACCCCGAGTGAAACAATACGACTTCACAGGCTCATCCCTATTGCACTATGCAATCTTTTTAAGCGGCTTCCACGACTGATTGCCCATATACCTTCATTTCCTCTTCATAGGATCCCTCCTCCCTTGGAGGCGCCTCACCAAGTTGCTTTGGTTAGGGATTATACATATTTGAGAGATTAACTGTCACATGTGTTGTGTTATTCCTCACAGAATGTATAGTACCTTATTTCTCGTCTTAATCAGCTTTAGATTTAAAATTAAATAGTTGTTCAAGTTTTAAAACTTGTTATCTATTTAATTCCTAATCTGAACTTCAATTTCTACGTCAGGATATCAATAATTTTGTGTTTCTAGTATGTGTTAGAACCTACTTTTTATCTCTTCCAGACTGTATGTTAAACTTGTTAGGTAAAGGTGGATGCTATCATCCACTACTTGCCAAGGCTGATTTAGGTTAAATGACGTGACATCCTCAAAACCTGAAATACCCCTAGATATCTTATTTGATACATTTAAACTACCTGCAGTGATACGAAGGCAAAAAAAACGGAAGTCGCAAAACAAGAAGGGATCTCATCCCAGAAGGCAATACAGTCTCAAGAGATCCCAGACAGTACGTTTCCAAGTTGACTCAATGAAGTAGAGGTACTAATTTTATTGTACACCTTCATGCTCTTTTTGTTGACAGGGGAGGTGATAAATACACCTCATTTTCTCCATGTACTTTTACATATCTGACTGTATTTCTCCCACCCCATTTATCACCTTGAGATCCTATTGGTTATTGACTGTTTTAATGAATCAATGTAATTAGTCTCTCTCGAGGTCGGTTAAAGCCTATATGTATGCAAGCGATTTCAATCATTTTCACTGTGGATACGAGACAGTAAAAGCTCTTCACATCAGCAGTCAGTATTCACTTATTGTCTTCTTGCGTCGCTTTTTCGGTGGTATCGTATCGTGTCGTTTGTTGTTGCCAATAGTGGTTAGAAAAATAAGCTGGCGAATCGACTAGGTAGGAAATCCGTTAGCGAAACTACCAGGTGTGTATTAACGGGCATACAAGAGACCTGTATTCAAAAATGTCGAAGAAACCAAAGTACCATTTACTTTTCTCGTAACACCACAGGCTAATGAGTGTTGCCTGAATTTTTTATATCAACAATTAGGAGTTTATTAGTTATTATCTTCTTTCAAAACCCTACATATATTTAATTTCATTATGTAATATTCATATTTAACCAATTTTACTTTCTGTGCTATCAGTTTGGATGATATATATATATATATATCGTTTAAAACTGCATTGAAATTCAATAATGTATCATTGATATGAAAGTGAAACTTGTGTGCCTTGTAGTAGAGTAATAATACCATGTCAGTTTGTTTATTTACTACATGACAGAATGATGCAATATTATATTACTGAAAAATAAAAGTGTATATCAAAATTTCTTGCTCATAAACATGTGATCTTAAGGAATTCAGTAAATAATAACTAAAATGAAATCTGAATATACATACATTTGCCTGGATAATATTCACGTCTTTTAAATTTACTAATCAATACATTCAACCAGAATTCAGTGAGCCGTACAAGTATTCACCAAGGTTTGAATCCCACACTCTATCTGCTTCAACCTGAGTACCTGGGAATATTAAGTATAATCAGCCTTCGCATAATAAGTGCGGTTCATAGAATGGTGCATCTAAAATCTGTTCCACCTAATTGCGTTCTAATTAATGTTATCTGATTGATAATGACCAGCAATGGGATCTAGAATGCGCATTTCGTCCTGTTTGGGACTTGTTGGATGGGTGTGCCTGCATCCCTAATTGAGTAATCATGTTCCCCTTGAAATTTGAATCTAGTATTGATCGTTTCTAAGGACACGAGAACCCCATCTTGTCAAACACGTATCAGTTATTTGTTTTTAAGCGGATTTTTATTTCTTCTGAGCGATTTTATTGGACCAAAAATACTCAATCTTTGATTCAAAAGATTGGATCTGAAGTGGGAACACTACGACTTACTGGGAATACAAGCACACCTTGCTGAAAGGTTGTAAATAGGACGAAATGTGCCTCCTGGATTCTACCGCTAGCCGCCACCAACCAAATGACATCACGTCAACCATCAAACATCGTTGAAACGTCCATACAAGAAGCCGAGATGACTGACAACAGAGACCAATTCATTTCAATTCAACGAGAAATACAAATTATCAAAAGAATGGATACTGAACAAAGAGTACTCTTTTCGATAACTTCATCATCAGGCTTTGCAGTTATATATCCATTATAGTGAATAAATGAATGAATGAACGACATTAATGTTGTTTAAATAACATCGAATCAATAATATTGATAGATTATAGCTCAATAGCATCAACATAAAATAAGCTGAATGTCAGAAAAATTAGGAAAGATAATATTACAAATTCATGAATTTATAGTCTCTACTGAAGGCTGGCCAGGGCAGTAGTAGGGGCTGGATTTGCTTCTTTTAAACACAGAGAACTGGTTGTTTGAGGCGAATTGCAATAGCCTCTGCTGTTTGCAGCATGCAGTGCTACGATGATTGTGGCAATTTATTAGACACCCGGTAGATGATAGAGAAGGATTCTTCAATGCTGGCTTGCTTTGTGGCCGGTCTGCACCAGATAGTCCAATATCGAACTGTTAATGGTTTTTACTACACGTTTACTTAGCCATAGTGGGAAATGCTACAAATTAACTTGAAAAAAGTCCCAACTAACTTAACTACCTTGTTTTTCAAACCAAAGGAAGTGGAATACTATCTGAATCCAAAACCCAATTAATCGTAAGTCTTCTAGTTGATATAAGTATAAAACTTGGGCACTGTGGTAGAGTGTAACTCCATTATGGATAAGATTTTATTTTCATAAATCACACAGTGTTACACAGTAATATTAACTGATGACGTTTCGAGCACAAATTATTGCTCATAATCATATCAAGTTACTCACACAACTTTTTCCTTCATTTATATATATGTATGGAATTGACTAGATATTTGAATAAAAATCAATATGAGATAATGTACATTCAGAGATAATAATATGAGTGTTATTGATCAAATACAATTAGATGGGAAATAAGACGAATGTTCTTATAGTTATAATAAGTAATTTGTTAGAATGTTGTGATTTGCTTGAATTGAAATAGAATTTTGAGATTATTTATTATCCTCTTCTGATTTGACTGGTGGTAATAATATCTTCCATATTTCTGGTATTTGCATTGAGTCATTTCTGTTGCATGTGTTGGGTGTAGATTCAATGAACCAGGATTCAGTAATCAATCTCTCTCTCCATCTACATAGATTACTTCTTAGAATCTTAACCCTCTCCCACCCTATTGTGTGGTTGTGTGTTATTGCATGTAGTGCAATTGCTGAGCTTTTTTCTAAATTACTTATCTTCTCGGGGTCAACTATTCTTACCTTGGCTAAATTTTTATGTTCCGACAATCTGATTACCACCGATCTACTATGGGTATAATTCCACAGTGCCCAAGTTTTATTCTTATATCACCGATCTACTAGTTTTACCTATATAGTTGACCTCACAGTTATTACAAGGTATTTTGTAAATTATATTATTTTGTCTAATTGGGTCCACCGGGTCTTTTAGCCTACAGAGCTTGTCTCTGAGCGAGTTTGTAGGTTTGAATGCCACCCTAATTCCTGCTTTATTTAGAATCCTACGTATTTATTTCCCATCTAACTGTATTTGATCAATAACACTCGTATTATTATTTCTGAATGTACATTATCTCATATTGATTTTTATTCAAATATCTAGTTAATTCCATGCATATATATATAAATGAAGGAAAAAGTTGTATGAGTAACTTAATATGATTATGAACAATAGTTTGTGCTAGAAACGTCATCAGTTAATATTACTGCATAACAATGTGTGATTTATCAAAATAAAATCTTATCCATAATGGACGTAAGTCTTCTAGTCAACTGTAATGAATCATAATTACATTGTCATCGAACTGATGCCTCTTTAAAGGGTATCAACACAAAATTGATAGCGTCTTTTCTTCAAGGAATAATTATTAGTATTGACATTTGTTTATTAAGTTTTTGATATTTCCTTGTTTACATATAAACACCATTTGGACTGAAAGACACATAACAGTAATAATAATAAAAGCCCATGATACAACATGGTAAAAAAATAGGGAAATTCATGTGATGTTAGTGATTATTTTTTCATTCCCTGAAGGGTATTTATTATAACTTCGTAGCAATTGGTTATATCATTCACACATGTACACAATATACATGTGATGATTATTGTGAATATTTATTTTCTTATCGAAATTGTTTTGTTTACTTTTTAGCTATTTTCTTTGTGTTTATATAAGGTGAAAGTGTATTTTTTTTCTTTTTTTCCAGTTGTTTGATTGTTGATTATCTTTTTCAGAGGAAATTAAATGACCTTCATTTGTTCAATAATATTTGTATTATTCATGTGTGCATATGTGGAGATGTGTATGTCTAATTGTGTTTTCTTTTATTTGGTGAAACCGAATAAAGGTAGATTACTTCTACAGGATTTCAGCAGCACACCTCCAATTAGCTGCCTATGTAAGATGATGATGCTACAGGACTGGACTACATCGACTACTCTTTGCTTAAAGACAAGGAGTGAAGTGGTAGAGCGTGTTGACCACTTCACTTATTTAGGGAGTTGCATCAGCCCCAACGGGTTAATCGTTGACGAAATCTCAAAACGGATACAGAAGGCTCGGTTGGCATTTGTCAACTTACGCCATCTCTGGCTTAGTGGACGTGATATCCGGCTATCGACCAAAGGGTGTTGTATACTGCTCAGCAATTCACTCTGTCCTCCTTTATGGCTGTGAGACATGGCCATTGAAAGCGTGGCTAGCTGTCTTTGTTCACATGTGCTTGCGTTCTATCACCCATGTTTAGTGGTGGCATAATAGGGTGAGCAATATTGAGTTGAGGCATCGATCGAGTCGTGGGTAAGGAGGGGAAATCAATTGATGATGTTGTGAGGTTGCATCGATTGAGATGGTTAGGACATGTGTTACGCATACTTAGCCATCGCCTTCCTCGACTGACGAACAATGTTAGCTGACATAAGATCAGGCTGGAGAAGAGCTAGTTGTGGTTAAACCAAAACATGGCTTCATCAGTCAATGAAATCCACAGCAGTTTGTTTAAGCCAGTCACGTCGGGAGGTGTAGACTTCTTGGCTGGTTGGGGTTCTCGCGATGGAAACAGTTGGTGATATAGCTCAAAATCATTCTTAATGGCTGGCGCAAATGCATTCACTCTTTTTGATTTTTCATGTTCAATAAAACTATGTTGTTCTTCCATATTAGTATTGTTTTTCCCTCACACTTTGGTTTATTATTTGTCTTTTGAATCTTTCTTCACTCTCTTCTCTTGCTTTGTGTGCTAAATGGAGAGAGTGTGGCTAGTCGAACTGCTGCACATCTGTGCAAAGTTCTAAGTTGAAACCAGTCAGTCAGCTGCCCCACCGCAAGATCTTCTTCATGTCACTCTCTGACGCACAACCCCTGCTTTCTCATTCGGGCTCCCCTCAAAGCCCTACCTGGTGCATGATTTCAACCAACTGGTTTCCTTAGTCATATGTCAAATCCCTCCACTTCCTGTTGCATATTTGTTGAATAATAGGTTATTATTTGTTTCATTGTCAGAGTTCCGTGTTGATTATACTTTCCGACTGGCTATGCGATTCACAGTATCGTGAGAAGGCAGGTGTTGTTAAAAGCCTGCAGTAGGTTGTTAAAAATGCTTTTCGTGACTCTTGTGCCAATTCTCTGAAACATACAGAGGCACTTCTTTGACATCAGTGTTGAACATCTGAATCTTACTCCTGATGCTGAGTACAGAAGATTTCCATAATGATTTCAGGGTAATGAAGGTTTGTCTTGCTTCTCCGAGCTTTTGACATCCTTATTTGTGCCGCCTGTAGTTGGGGCTATGCTGCCTAGATAAGTGAAACAGACGACTTTTTTCTTTAATGTTTCCCTCATTGATGGTCATTTTTGTTAGTTGTTGTTGCTGTTAGTTGAGTATCTTCATCGCATCCGTCTTTTCTGTGTTCATGTGAAGTCCTATCTTTGCTGCTGTAGATCTTCGAGTTCGTGTGATATTAGACACGAACTATTCACAATCTTTAAATCTCCCAGTGTCTTCTCGTTGGTCTTGTGTATGCCCACCACAGTCAAGTATATTATCGGTAATTTTAGACAGCCTGGTTTACGAGGTCACTAGCCACTCCTGAACCTAGAAAAAGAGAGAAAGTTGTGAGTGGAGCCTATCGACCCATCTGCGGAAAATCAACCCAATCGCTACAGAAACACTTTAAAGCACAGAAAAAAAACTCCCAAAAACACTAGCTTATATCGTTTGTACATCATTTGTCAATGTACAGGAATTTATCAATATACGATTGGCTAGCATTGCCGATCTATATGATAACTAAATTATTCTAGGGAAAATCCTTAGATGGTCACTGAGCTAAGTTTCATTGATTAAATAAATCGAAGTGTTGTTTAATTATTTATTTTGATTACAGCTTGATGCCACACCGTATATTCAGTACAAGTATGGAATTTTCAGCATGTAATATCGGTAGCCCAAATTTTGCAGGTTGACCATTGATACCAGATATGCGTCGACAGGGGATCGAACGCCGGACCAGGTTATTAGGCATACTTATTATTCAAGATCTGATGATGCTATGTAGTTGCCTAGGCTGAAGCAGCAGCTGGAGTGGGGTTCAAAGCCTGATCCCACTAACTGGAAATCGATTATTTAAGTCAGTGAGTCAAAGTACTGTGTGCATATCGGTCTAACACATTTTGCATCGTTATTTTCCCTTACTAATACTTTTATTTATTATTCCCTCCTCTTTGTTTTTCGTTTCTTTTGCCTATATAAATAAAACAATTAAAGGATGAAGATACTCACTTAAAATTCAATCAACTTCTAGACCAATATCTATCTATTATATTGTCTAATCCACTTGAATGTATGAATACTACTGCCAATGACAATTTGAGTAGTATGAATATAACATCTTATTTATTAAATGATACAAATGAATTTCAATTATTCAAATTACTTGCATTGTACTCTCAATCATCAGCATCATCACCATCAGCATCGTCGTGGTCATCCTCTTTACTATGGGCAAACAAATTAAGTTCATCATATAAGTGGAGAAAAAATCAAGAATGTAGTCTACCTATTGAAACATTATTTTTTAATCAACAAGCTGAAAATAAATCAGTAACAACAAATAAAACGATGAATGTCAATGATCAATTCTCATTAACATCTGTATGTTTAGCAAGATCTATTGAAACATTATTACATTATCAGATAAGTCAAACACACTCCAGTAATCAACATCATCAACAATCGTCTGTACAATTTTGTATTGATTTATTACGTACAGGGAATGAATATCTGGCGATTACTTTAGAAGAATTCAAATCTTTTAAGGTAAGCTATGTAGTTGTATGTTGTTTTTCAAATCTTTCGCCTTATGTTCGTTCATAGATTTTGTGATGTCAGTAAAAACAACGTGATTGGTGGATAGTTTTCTTTTTCATATTCACTGATTGTGAATGTAAAGTGGAGAATGTGAACTAACACATAACTTTTCATACAAGTGTAACAGTTCAAATTGCCACACAAAGGTAAACAGAAAAGAGATAGAAAATCAGATTCAGAAGAACTACACTGAGCAGAATTGTGAAGGAGAAGGAATAATAACACGGAAAACGCATAAGGTTATGATGGATCTGGGAGATAACATAGAGTGAATGCATCTACTCCATTAAGAACAATATTGCATCATATAACCATTAGTCTTCAGCTATTGGTTCCCTGCTAGACGGTCCACATCTTGCTACATGGCTCAAACCCACTGTTAGTGACTTCATGAACTGACACAAGGTCTTGGTTTGACCACCTCTAACTCTTTTTCAACTTAATCGCAAGTCGCCTAATATTGTTCGCCGAGGAAGCTGATGATTTGTCATGCACAACATGTGTCCCAGCTATATCAATCGATGTGGCTTCACGACCTAATCGACTGACCCTTCTTCCTTGCCTTGCCTAACCTTGATATTGATAATCAATCTATACCATTTAACACTGCAGATAGAGTGCAAACATCTGAAGTCAGAATTTAGAAATTAATAAAATAGCTTGTTTGTGTTCATTCTGTTGTAGTTAAAAGCAGCAGCACACTGACAAAGTTGATTAGACAATCGAAGAAAGGAATTTCAAAATACATGATATATATATTTCGAAATCTTAAGAACTATAACTATAAAACACGTCGTTTATTACAAATTTAGTATTAGTAGTGATCATCTCTTTTCTTCGTCGCCAAGTTTTTTGTTTAAAATAGTCGATTTCAGACTTTCTCTTATGCAAACTTTTCCATTTGTGTTATATGTTTGTTTTTTTCACTTCTTGCTTTAAAGTTTTATTGGCGATGATGTTGTTTTTTTACTGGGTAGGTTTCCTTTCCTTACGCTCAACCTTTCCTTTTTTTCTGGGCTTACTGTTGTCAACTCGTCAGTTAGCCGGGGCTTGGTAGCACATCATCTGGAAATTGTACCCTGATCATGTGCATAGCTGACGAGCATTCTACCATTGACAATCTGCTATGCATTTGGCTGGCGTGTATTCGTTCTAAACATGTTAGCGGCTCATATCAGTTGGTTGGTGGACAACACAGATAACAGATTCAACTACCTGCTTTTGATATTTTTCAACTCACTGTTTTAACCTCAATTCTGTTTTTTCAAGGAGTGTGGAAGGTTGCACTGTCGCATTCCCCTTCTTCTTTTTTGTCTACTCTTCGAATAGAAATCTACAGTAGTGTAGTAGACTAAGAGTGGTGCATGAGGGGTGGGTGGGATACGAGCCATTTTTTTCTTATATTCTTAAGTAAAACTTTTAAGATAATATTTATTAACTGATTGTGTATAGAGTTTCATTCTTCTGTGTTCATACTGTGGTGAAACGTGGCTGCGAACAAGCCAAAATTGTAGACAAAAATTTACGTCAATGTTTACGTTCCCAATCAGGGTCATGAGAAAAACAGTAGCAAAGCTTAACCTTGCGGAAATCACCAGCCAATCACAGTGGAGTTAACGTGTGGAAATATGATTCGCAGATATATGGCTCAACTTCCTGAGAAACGGCCACAAGATAACAGATTAACCTTCAGCAAGAAAACAACCAATCGAAAGAGGCTGCTTCTCCGCTAAAAATAATGTACATGGAAATCTATAAATACCTTTTGTTTTTCTCAATAAACAATCTGTTACCTGACCCTTGTCTTCTGTCGTTACAATACTACTATATGATCGTCTTCATATTATGTATAGCAAGTTTCAGTAGCCTTAATTCCTTAATAAGTAGAATTAATAATTTTCATCTGGTCCTAATAACACGATAGTAATGAATATACTTATCGTTTAATCAGTTGTATGTTGGTATATGATCCTTACTTCTTACTTGTGTGTCTCGTACTAATACAGTCAACTTCGATAAATGAAATGATTTCAAATAGATGTCTCCAATAAGTGTCCTACTGTTTTCTACAAAAAGTATATAGAAGGGGGAGAGCGAGAGAGGTTAACTGAGGTACCTGGGAAGAATTTTTCACGTACCAGATTATGAGTCTCACTTAGTTTATGATGGCTGATGATACTACTTATATTAGTCTAGTGACGAAGTAGACGGAGTGAAATTCGAAAAGGAATAGGACTGTATTCAAGAAAATTCATCAGAATCGATATTATCATTATTATTATTCCTTTGGGTTCCGAGAGGAACAAAGAGCTTCAACCGCACACCTCTCTTTCATCTTGTAGTCTACAGTCACGTTTACTTGGCTCGACAGTTGCCCATAAGCATTTATCCCCACCAGAAACGATCTCTCCATATCACCCTTGAAAACAAAACTTGGCGTTTCCCATTCGGATTCCACGCGAGGGCCTGCAGCGTAACGTCGCTCAACGGCCTCCAAAGCATGCGTGTATTGAAATATATAGGTTTGTTAGTTAGTTACTGGATTAATTGGCTTCAATGTAATGAAAGGTAGTTTCACTGGTTTGGTATCATTGAATTTATTATAGCTCCCAGGATGACAACATCGCTTAAAAGAGCATGTGACTCAGCAGTTCAAGACACTACTTACAAGTGGAAGATATCAGTGACTATATGAACCTAAAGAGTGAATTATCCATTTCAGCGGCTACACACAGGTATTTGGTCTTGATACGTGTCTCTTTTAGTTGATTTATAGCGTTACATATCATCTGACCAGAGAATCGTATATGCTGCATTTAACTTTCTTCATACTTGTATAATTCTGTTAAGTGTACACTCCAAATTTCATTCAAAACTTTTCTCTTTTTCTTTACAATAGGGTGATAAGGCTGAATATCTAGACATAATAAATAATGTATTGAAACAGATATTACGTCATCTTCCATCAGATCTTACACCATATTCAACCTCTTCGTCATCAACAACAACAACTTCGTCGTCGTCGTCTGATTTATCCGCTAACTCGATTGTTAATAAAGATATTCTACGCCTATTTGTTAATTTACGCTTGCATCAATTATATTTGACGTTATTACGTCATCAACATGGTGTAACATTTAAACGTGGAAAATCACAAACACCAGCTTGGTCTACAATGATTACACAGACTAGAACAACATTGGATTGGCATTCTTCCTATATTACTGATGTCAATTCTAAAGAAAATGAAAAAATTAATCTAGATGTACAAGATATTATTTTACATGTGAATTTATTAAGTCATCTTGTAAATTTACAAACTGTGAATCAGAGTAAGTTGTGTATCTGTATGTGTATGAGTGTCATTCCTGTTATTTTTTGGAAATAACACATTTATTTATGATGTATTATTCCTTTGGGCTTCAACATCACGTCTCCATTTTGTCCTGTTTTCTGTAGTCCTCTTCAGCTGGACCGCCCTCCGTAAGTTTACGTCTCCTCCTCACATGACCTACTCCATTTCACTGCCGAATGCCCAACTTGTCGTTTCCCACTTGGGTTCCACTAGAGGGCTTACGTAGGGTTAGTATAGATGGGATAATAAGAATAATAATAATAACAGCTTCATTCTGAAACAATATTTATATTATGTACAGAATTTTTAGTGGAGCTTATCGCATAATATTTTCTCTCCGCCCAAGATCTTCAAATAAAAGAATAACTGACAGTAGGTCGCGTGACTCAGTTCTATCTGACGACATTTGGCTTAATGCCAATAATAAAAGGTTCAGGAGTACATTTTGTGAACCAGTGACACCAATCAGGAACGGTCATCTCATGTACTGGGAGAAGCTGCCATCGAGGATAATCCTTTTGATCGTGTTTAGCAGAAACTTGCGAATTAGCAGGTCGTAAGTGTTTGAAATACACGCCAGAGTAAACAATGCTATTAGAGATCATACTTTAATAAACTTAAACAAACAGAACAGAGGAAAATATATGCAATATATATATATATATTGTTGGAGGTTTTCGGTAGCCCAAGTTTTAAGTAAGCCGCCATTTGTATGAAAGATAGAGATGTAGATTGTGATTAAATTTAACTGACCAGCATTTCGTTTACATCGTGTATCAGATAAGCTTATCAACCTGATGAATGCCTTTCCAGTCTTTGGTTTCTTCCTAATTTACTGCTTAAGCAAGAAATGAATGATCCGTTCACATCTTATCACATTAGTTAAATACGACCATGTTATTTCTCGTGGTTATTTTTTTTTTATCCTTCACGTTCCTCAGTGGAACATAGGGCTTCAACCTAGTGGCTTGAAGTTTCTGTAGCAGTGTTTATTTTACAGGATGGGGTTGCTAGCCTCATGCCCAACTTTTCCTCTTTACCAGCATTATTTCTGGCTTAGCGAGGTAAAGGAGTGCGTCGGCCGGGGATCGAACCCCGGACCATGTACATGGTCGGCGAACGTCCTAACCGCTATGCCACCGATGCACTTTTCTCTTGGCTATGTGCAAACTAATTCAAATGAAATGTGAATGTAATAATCTGTGATTTAGGCAGAATTGAAAATTGCTTATCTATCAGGTCCCTTGTTGTTCTTTATGTTTACGGAATATTTATAACAGTAATCTGGTAATCTAAGAAAATTTTCACCTCCATATATTATTTTCATAGAGTAATTTCTAGTTTGCGGTCGTAGATGAATTCCTGGTCAGATTCAGTCAAAATGATCATGATTTCACAAAGCTTCATTTGAAATGTATAGACCTTTGAGACACATTTATAGTGTAACAGGTCATGATACTATACTATCCAGCTACCCAAGCTGAAATAGGTGCAGCAACATTCCAATCCGAGACCCATTGGCTGAATGTTGGCGCGACTTATGCCAATAATCCATATTTCCAAACACGACATCAAGGGAGTATTGCTTATAAGGGTAAAAAATATGTAAAGGCTAAAGACATTCGATTATATTCATTTCTTGATGCCGTAGAGGTATTGGCTGACAGTGGATTCGTGCATGTGCGTCGGTGGCACAGTGGTTAGGACTCTCGCCGACCATGCACGTCGATCCCCTGCCGACGCACACCCGATATCTATGGTCGGCCTGCAAAATTTGGGCTACCGATATCCATGCTGAAAATTCCATACTTGTACTGAAAATACGGTGTGGCATCAAGCTGTGATCAAAATCAAATCAAAATGTAATTTGCCAAATCTTAATCAACTTTCCCCCACATATGTGTCCGTTACAAACCCAGTGGAGGTAACGTAACTCTCTAGACTGAATGATCGCGTAATATGTCTGGCATCATATCCAGTCTATTTTAGGAACAGTGGGCAAAGATTGTCGATAACCTGTAACCAAAGGTTAGTAAATGTCATTGGATTTCTTTTGTTTCACCAGAACTGACAAATACAAAAGGAATGATTGCTGCGGGCTCCAATTATGCGAAGGGGCGATAGCTGCTCAGATGCAAGCTGACTAAAACTCTTTACAACGACCGTGAACAGTGGTTGGCGACAAAAAATGAGAGGGAATAGACATCAGAGATAGGTAATACCCGACAACTATCTAAGCACATTAAGGGAACGGGTTATAAAAAATCAGTGGTAAGTGAAAGGCTTTCCGATGACGGTGCTTTATTTACCTCTCAAGACAGACAACTAGAAAGTTAAAAAAAATACTTTGAGGTAGGGTTCATTTGGCCTACAGCTACGTAAAATGTGCCCAGCATCCTATATTTACCCATGTGGGATGTAGACATCGGTTCTTCATTTGTAACTGAAGTTGTAAACACTGTGTCTAATCTAAAATGACACATCTAATTGTATCAATGAAGTGGTGTCTATGAATGGCGGTGATGAATTATTATCTCGATATCTAATTAAGATGTTAGGTAATGTGTTAGAATCAGATAGTTTCATTGAACTAGTGGAGATCTCTGATTATCCCATTTTGTAAAAAGGGAGACAACTCTTACTGTGGTAACCACCGGGGCTCGGTTAGTTCGACTAATATAGTGTCTAAAATTTTCGACATGACATAGCCTTGTGAATACTCAGCAGAAGCAGACCTGTGAAAATCAGGCGAATTTTAGGCCCTGACGATGGTATATTCATTACACACACACACTCCGATAGGTTCTGAAACGTATGCATACTTACTGTTACCAAACACTGGCCATATTTTTTTAATCTGAAAACTGTGTTTGACTCTGTCGATCGAAAGATACTGGGAGTTATATTCGAATAACATTACCCAGTTCCTATTGACTTGGTGTTATTTACTTAGCTATAATAAAATTACTATAAATATGTTCCCCTTTCATTCTGATACGCTTAACACGATAGTCAGACAGATTTTTACACCATCATAACAGTGACTACACTTCAGCCAACCATTCTACTTTTGACCAATGTATTCAATGCAGTTAGAGCTAAGGGGATAGTTCAGTAGACTGTATACAATAGATACGTCGACTTCCTTTTCATAACTTTCAGTTATAAAACTTATTTGACAATTCAACCAGGAAGATATATCTCTAAAAATAAGTGTGAGGTGGTGTGTAAACGGTTATTACTGAACGAAATAACTATACTAATATTGTATATTTAACTACAATTAAATATCATAAAGAAACTAATCTTCATCATAATTAGAGATATCGATCGTCTTTAATCGATCATCGCATGTTTTTTCTTCTCTTCAATTCTAATACCAGAATTCTATAAGTAATTAAATTATCTAGCTTTAACTTATTTAAAAAATGAAAACAGGTCCTAATCGAAATTTTTCATGTGTTATTCATTTAAAGAATTATTATTTCATACTATCCATTGTGACAGAGTGTAATGGTACAAGACAAAAGACTTGGTAAAGGAGTGTTTATTTGCAATTTGGTATGTCTGTATAGCGAAACTGTGTACACCTTATCTTCAACGTACCAATTTGCACACAAATCTTCCGTGTTGTGCTACTTTTTTCCCTTCCTTCGTATTGTGTTTTTTTTGTCTTCCTGTTCACATCTCTTATGCCTCTCCGCAACGCCGAATCATTTACTTTCTTCGACGTCTAATCTGTTGCCTTGCTTTTTGATATCTTTATGTCAATGAATGTTTCTTAATTTACTACCACGCCACAATAGGAATATATATGCCTTTTATTTCTTACTTTCATCTTATTTTATTCTTTATTATTGGTAACTGTCTAACTAAGGTATAGGTATGCGCTTCAAGAATATAGGTTAAATGTAGTGTTTAATGTACGATGTGTTACGGTCAGTATAACATTCATTCATTCGTTATGAAATTTTTCTATAGTGTCTAGTGATAATGATATTACTGGTTGGAGGATTTCATCATGAGATGACATCAGTTAGAGAACCACTGGAAAACCTGTAGGGAGTACTGGACAGCTGTCTCCTGCCTCCTAGTTTGGGGCTCCTCAGCAGTACGCACCCACTGGGGTTCGAACCCAGGATCTTCTGGTTACAAGGCGAGCTCGTAGACCATTGAGCCACTGGGACCCGATTCAATGGTTCTTGAATTCTAACTTCTGCCAATTCACGGCATAGCGCGACCATTTCGCGATGACTCTACGAGCTCGCCTTGTAACCAGAAGGTCCTGGGTTCGAACCCCGGTGGGTGCGTACTGATGAGGAGTCCCAAACTAGGACGAAACAGCTGTCCGGTACTCCCAGGTTTTTCAGTGGCTCTCTAACTGATGTCAGCTCATGATGAAATCCTCCAACCAATCAAACAAAAAAAATCCCTACAAAACCAATACTTGAAAATGATATGACTCACATATGATACATTCACTCTTTTGACTTAAGAGTTTCTGTCGAACAACTGTACGTTGATAAAACAAAGTATATAGGCTTTCAAAATAATCCATTGTCTCCCACCGTTATAATTTATAACATCACAAGAAGATAGAATCCAAGTATCTTTCACGTCAAAGAAGATTACAGTTTAGTGTGTATAAATCATTTCTTAGCCACTTTTTACGAAATGCTGACATTTAACAATGACAAATATAGTCTTTTGTCTGAGCATCCTAGTTAGTCGTAGTAGTAGTTTTAGCTAAGGACTGGCTATTTTATTAGGGTAAGTAGGAAGATGCTCTAACAGACAATCGTCTGAGAACATAATACACAACAAATGTGAAAGAGAAAACCGAGATGAGTTGTTGAACTTACGTTGAGGAGACATTCGAGTGACATCACACACGTAAAGCAGACCGGGTGGAACCCGAATTGGAAGTGACAAGCTGGGCGTTGGAGTGTAACATGGAGGGAGATCATGTGAAGAAGAAAGGTAACATTGCAGTGAGCAGTTGTGGAGCCGGTTAATAATAGTAGCCTAGTGCAACGGAAATATGCTACTGGAGCTGTATATCTCACTCAAAATTGAACGAATAAAGAGTAATAATTTCATCTAGATTAGATTCTAATTATAACTTATGTCATTCATGTTATTTATTACTTACTTTATTCCTTTACGTTCCCAGTGGAACATGGGGCTTTAAGCTAGAGGCTTGAAGTTTCGGTAGCACTGGAGTTTGCTTTTACAAAATGGGGTTGCTAGGGTCATGCCCAACATTCCCTCTTTACCAGTCTTATTACTGGCTTAGCAAGGTTTGGGAGTGCGTCAGCCGGGGATCGAACCCGAACCACCTGCGTGGTTGGCGAGCATTCTATCGCTGTGCCACCGCTGCTCATGTTCTTCATAGATGAATCCATAATTAGCATTAAAAAGAAGTAATATGTCTTTTATTTGCAGACATTTGTGTTAGCCCTGAACTTGATGTTGCTAACACCGAATGTCTATTTGCGAAAGAGACATAACTGTTAGTGTTGGTGAGAACTTCGTAAATACAGCGGGAATCCCACCTCATACTGTGGTTCTGAGTTAATTGAAGTGACTTGATTGGATATTTTGACTTCTCATGTTGTCTTCTTGATTTGTATTTTTTTTTCCCCATCAAATTATTAGCAATATCATTTTTTTTATATTCACATTTCCTTCAAATGTTTAATAAATTATCCTTTATTTTCATCGTCAGGTGTACTATCCCTATTTGGCATTCAAACTATTCTCCGTGATATTTATCGAATTCAACCTATCCTACGCATACTGAATGACAGTGTAGACTGTTCCACTCCAGATGTATACAACAATTTACAAGGTCCATTGAATTCAATTTCTCATAATTTACATCAGTTATGCGATACATTAATGAAAAAATCACAAAATAGACGTGATAACAAATCTGAACAAAAATCAACTATTATCCAGAATACTAAAAAGAAGAATAAGCAAAAAATTAAAAAGTCACAAGAAGAAACATCAGAAATGAACAAATCAGAGATTAATTCTCCAGAATCTCTGTTATTATCTAACATAAAGCATGTAGACGATGTCTATTCAAAATCGAAATTAAGCGTTGACATAACAGAAAATGAGTACAATATCTTTAAAGGTAATTGTCAAATGTTAAAGCAACAGATTGACTACCTAGAGAAGTATTTAAGTGGACTATAAAATTTATCTACACCTTGATACTTGCACTTTCAACCCTCTTTATCCCTCTGTAAATTTCCTTTTGTAAGAGATCTATTCTTCAATTAAACTTATTTTTAGAATTGTTATATTTTCTGCTATTAAATACTCGTTTGTTTCTGGATGCTATTATAGCCAACTATTATTAGTAAGGTGAAAGCTAATCAGTTTACTTCGATAATAGATGTAAAAGAAGTAGGTGTCTTGCACTGCATGTGTGTGTTCGCGGTTCAGCTGTAGAATACTCCCTAACCACCCTGGGGTTTCATCCCCGGCCGACGCACTCCTTAACCTCAGTTAGCCGATAAAGAGGAAAAGTTGGACGCAAGGCTAGTGAAAAGCACCGCTGCTGAAACTTCAAGGGCTCAAGCTGGAAGTTCTATGTCTCATTCAGTACGCAAAGAAGCAGAAATAGAAAAAGATGTTTCATGCAGCCACTTCTCTTTATCAGTTTCCATAAAGAAAGAATGAACCTATTTGCAGGATAATACGAGCTCGTTTTTATCTCGTGGATTCTCTTCAACTGCGTACATCCCATATAAGTCAATTTTATGTTACAAAATGGTGTCTGAACATTCTTTTTAAAGTGATTTCAAGTAATAAATAGAAAGAAATTATAAGCAACATAATTTCAAAGATGATATTAAGTAGACAATTATTTAGTGTTAAAAGAGTAACTATTTATATATATTAATTAGACAAAGGGGCGGAGTTCCGATTTCACTTGTAAACAAGGATGGACTAGAGACGAAATACAAGATAGAGCGACAGAGTTAATTTATACATATCATGGTGGAGAGTTCAGGAGAGTGGGGGTGGGGTGAATAGTGAAGTAAAATTATAAAACAGTTTAATTTAGTAGATTTGGAACCTTAATAGTGAGTGTGTGAAAATCAAGATTGAGCTAATTGTTATGCAACAGAACAAAACACAAAAGCCCACGAAAAAAATAAAGGTTATCAGGGTAGTGAGGGATTAGTTACACTCTCTTTCTGTATGCATAGGTTGGGTGGTATTCTTTTACCGGAAATGGCCTCTGCGAACCGAAGTAACCATGCTTTTCATCTTTCATCTTATCCATTATGGAATTATACTCTACCACAGTGCCCAAGTTTTATACTTATATCAATAACCATGCTTTTCTTTGTATATTGATTATTTTGAAAGCCTGACTGACTTCTACTGTATGTCCCGTGTTAATTAGGTGTCTGGTGACTGTCCTTGAGAATGCTTTGCTGCCTTGAAACAGACTTTTAGGGATATGCTCGGCGAATCTAGTAGACTTCCTCCTCTCAGTCCTTCCTATGTTCTTACTGTCGCAAGTGCAGGTGAATTGGTAAATGCAGTTGAGGTTGGCATGAACAGGATACATATCTACTTTCGACTGGGTTAACGAGCATACGGCATCAAAACCATCCACCTGAGCTACAAATCTTTTCCGTCAAATCTATACTGTGTTGTAAAATGGAAACGTTCTTTTCAATGCACCTTTAATTCTGTTTTCCATTCTTATGAATACTTCGCCTTTTTAGGCTAGACAGATTAAAACTGGTTTCTTTTCAACTATTTCGGTCTAGGTTTGATTTTCAGTCACTGAGTTGAACTCACTATTAAGATTCCAAATCTACTAAATTAAATTGTTTTATAATTTTACTTCACTATTCACCCCACCCCCACTCTCCTGAACTCTCCACCATAATATGTATAAATTAACTCTGTCGCTCTATCTTGTATTTCGTCTCTAGTCCATCCTTGTTTACAAGTGAAATCGGAACTCCGCCCCTTTGTCTAATTAATATATATAAATAGTTACTCTTTTAACACTAAATAATTGTCTACTTAATATCATCTTTGAAATTATGTTGCTTATACTTTCCTTCTATTTATTACTTGAAATCACTTTAAAAAGTATGTTCAGACACCATTTTGTAAAATAAAATTGACTTATATGGGATGTACGCAGTTGAAGAGAATCCACGAGATAAAAACGAGCTCGTATTATCCTGCAAATATGTTCCTTTTTTCCCTATTCTAAAAAAGATGTGTTACAAAAAAATAATTGGATCAATATATTATTGACTAGTCATCTTTTCCAAGTAAGCACAAATACTGTGGTGAGAGCTGGCTGCTAGCCAAAGTTGGTAGACAGTAATTGACGTCAATATTTATGTCCCCAATATTGGTGGTGAGAAAATGGGAACAAAGGCTTTGCGTAGGCGGATACAGTTAGCATATGGATGATCTGACACAGCCACAAAGAGATGCAAGGTTAACTCTCTGTGAGAAACAACCAATCAAAAGACTGTATTTTCTACTAACAATAATGTACATTAAAATCTATAAATATGTGTTGATTTTCATCAATAAACAATCTGTTGTCTGGTCCTTGTCTTCTGTTGTTACAATACCACTGGAGAAATGGATAAGTAAATACATACTTTGGAGTTACTGGAAGACTGAGGATAATCAATAATCTAGTCTGAGGCTAAAAGGAAATACGAATAGTTCTTCTTCATTGGTTTACTATAAGGGTGCTTTAAGTTTTAAATTTGTCCAAATGTATTTGCTAATATCAATGATTTACCCAACTCGTAAAAAGAGAAACACTAACTTTGGAAAACTGCTTCCCCAAAATATATTTCAGTATTGTATGCCTAAGTATTACGCTCCGATCCTCATTAAAAATAGTTATATCTGCATGTCCAGATATGCCTAGTTACTCTTCCTATGGTAAGTGTTCTCTGAATTTTCTTTCAATTTGCAATCATGGCTGAAGCAAACGTACTGAATGGTACACTTTTATACATTGTTTTGTTTGAGGCAACTATTTCACAATCATATACCATATGTCCTAAACTTATCCATGCGTTCCGAATGGAACATAGGGATTCAAGTTTTGAATTTCTGGTACCGGTGGTTTTGTTTTTACAGGGTGAAGCCTCACGCCCAACCTTCCTTCCTTTCCGGGCCAATAAACTAGGTGAGCTTCTGGGATTGTGACGGCCAGAAATGGGACCACATTCTTGACTAGCGAACATTCTCACAGCTCATTACCATTGTGGTAAATTAATGTTTAAGTCATTTATATTTTGATGATACAGTACTACAAAACAAGATGATATTTCACTAAATGGAAATGTGCAAGTGCTAGAGATTTATTTGTGTAAATCTCACTACCATTTAAGCGAAATTCTGTTCATTTTTCGATAACAAAGGTTTTAATGCAAAGCTGATAACTACAAGAATTTGCAACAATAAACAGATTTCTATTCCTAATAAAAAGGCAACAACCGTAGCAACTAATGTCATGTACGCTTTTACGTACTATGTTATATGTCTCTAGTGGGTTAGTGGGGATATGGATGCTGGCATGACTGTGTGTAGCTCTATACAAGTAATCAGAGAAACACACATTGACAAAAATGGCAACTTCAAGTCATCAACTATTTCGGGGTACTCTTCTTTCCAGATTTCATCCAAAACTTTGGCAATTTCCTCAATAAATCTAGATTGATAGATGCTACTTTGATGTTGTGGTGGGGCCTGCGTAGTTTAGTCACTCAACATGCTACACTGGTTGGAATGAATGTTCCCGTAGGTCCCATCATGTCAGAAAGATAGTTTGTATGTCGGCTAGACTAAAAGCAGTTAGAATCATACTGTAAGTCACTTACACTATATTGGATGTCTGCTGGCGAATACAGGTGTGAGATGTTTTCCTACGGACGATTGGCTATGCTGTCTTTACGCTCGGGGAAGGGGGATTAAGAAAAGGTCGACTTCGAAAACTGTACATCCCGACTTAGCCCATGGCCAACTGTAAAATTTTCATACAGGTCGTGTGAACAGCTTGTTGTCCACAGGGCTCTGTGGATGGGAAACACCAATGGTGTCTCGGAATATTATAAGAAACCAACTTCCATGGTATGCACAGTCAGGAAGTAATAACTGTCCACATACTTCCATAAAGTACATAATTTCCCTTATCATCACTCACTTTCATCTTCTTCTACTCCTGTCACTGTTAACACTATTCTATAGGTCTGCTTTCCACCCTCTTTTAACTCTGTAACCATTCATAGAGAACTGAGCCAGGAAAACACTGCTCCACACCTCTTAACATCATGCTGGCAACTTTATATTGGAACACTCAGCGTCAGGAGCTACTCCATATCTAGCAACAGGCCTCACTAGTCAGAACTCCAGCATCTAGAGGTGTCTTGCATTTCAGAGACACGAATAGAGGGCCCGAGTATGGTTATTCACTTAACTTCACTTGGTGAATCTACAAAATCCACCTTACCAGTGTAGGGTACTTCGCGTCGAATTGCTGGTGTAGCATTGTCATTGAGCGCTGGGGCAGAAAATTCACCACTTGAGTGGGTTTCAGTGGACAGTGATCTGTGTGCTGTCTGGCTGAATAGATCCATGTAAAGAAAAGGCTGCGATACCCAACGATGTCTTTTCATAATAACAGACTGCAGTTCGGACAAAGTCAAAGATGAATTATGTCAAAAGCTGTCTAGTCATCTGCTAAGATCAAAATACTCTGACAGTCACCTTAGCAGATGACTCCAAGTAGGGAAGTTATACCAACGTCAGAAGAGTATATTGGTGGGGAAGATATAACTAAACGCTTATCTGAGACTGACAACAGTACCCATCATGAGGAAGCCAGATGTAGAAACAGCGGTGAAGGCCGATGATAACCTAAAACCAAATGTTATTGAGCACCAGTGCATTTCTGACGTTCGCAAGAAGATTGACTCTGGTGAGGTACGAATATGACGAGGAGCGAAAGCTCCTCAAATGCAAGCAGACTGAAAGCGACTATGAGACATAAGCAAAAGAGATGGAATTGGATTGGACATTGTCTAAGAAAATATGGGGAGACGAAAGGTTGCAGAACTGGTAAAGTGGTAGCAAAAAACAGAGTTCCTTTCAATCAGAACGAATAATAATATTTCGACTCATTAAGGAAACGGCCTTTAAGATGGTGCTGAAGGACTGGACCGCACCGATTCCCAACTTAGCGAAACAGAGTGAAGTGATAGAACGTTTTGATCACTTCGCTTATTTAAACTGTATCAGCCCTAACAGACTGATTACTCATGAAATCCCAGTGCGCACACAGAAGACTCGTGTGACACTTGCTAACTTACGTCATCTCTGGCGCAGAAGTGGCATCTAGCTGTCGACTAGAAGACGTGTGTACTGTGCAACAGTTCGCTCCGACCTTCTTTACGGCTGATACATACACGTTAAGAAGGGGGGAATACATGTTAAGTGGTATAGTATGACTAATATTGAAGTTAGGTGTAGTGTTAGGTAGGAAGAGAAAATCAATCGATGAGGTTTTGAAATACGGATCCTTTCACTACTTTTCACATCACCATAACCTTTATTTTAACGCACATTAAAAAGTACAAACCTAAACACACACACTGTTTTTAACGTATAACAAAAAGTCGAAAAACAATTCTGTCTTGATAACCGTTCGTGACCTCGACATGATTAGACTGGAGTTCTAAATGCAAAAAGTGACCTTCAATTCTGTATTTCAATTTTGATTACTTCCCTGAAAAACTTCAGCCATGTTTTTCTCCACCGAAACATTGGAATTACATAATATTGCTGAGATTTGTGCAAATATACACCGTTGTTTTCTCTACCTTCCACTCCTCCGCAAACGTCTGTGCACCTGATTGGTCAAATCTTGACCAAACTCTACATAAATTATTTAAACTTAATATAGCAGTGACTGCAAGAATGATGGTTAAAATGTATATTTATTTGTACGAATTCAGCTCACTTTCAGTCACCAGTAAATTTAAGCGCACTATTTCCTATGTTAAACACCTACGATATTTGAAACCGCCATGCACAACGGGCAGTTCCGTTGTTTTTGCCAATACAATCAAACTTTCAAAGTTATTTTATCACAGAATCAACCGGTGAACTACTATAGTTCGAAAAAAAATCAAAGGATAAAGGCGTATGCTCTGTTATCTGACAACGAAGTATTTTCTGAAGTAGGCTAAGTTTGATATTACTTACATACAACGATTTCTATTTTTTAAAAAGGCATAACTGCTCCTTCCATTTAAAATATACATCGCATTACGGTGTTTATGACAGTTGATTTGTTCACAGGATGCAAAACATTATTTAAAAACAAGAAATGATAAAGAAGCAATTAATAAAATGAAATGATATGAGTGTAAATCTAATGAACAAATAATGGGTGTATGCAGATGAAAAGTGTGGTTTACGATTTACAAGGATTGAAGGGAATAACGAAAATGAATTCCCGCCGTCTTTCTGTCTTAAGTGGTAAAATAACTACTTTTTTCTTTACCAATATAAATTCATAACACTGCGTATTCGTGGCAAAGTTGAAAGATATAGAGACGAATATTTCTCGGTTTATTTTTCTTCACACCATTCATTTTCCTTTTTGACCTAACGAGAAAATTAGAAAATACACACAACGGTTTACAAATAACTTAAAATTAATGAAGTAAAATGTATTCAGGAAAATGAATTAACTTCCTGTATTTTAAGATACTGACTTACAAGAAAATTATAAACTTCAAGAATGTCTAACCACTGGGAGTAAAGTTCATGGTTCATTAGCTTAGGTACTAGACTCTAAATCTGCTAATGATATAACTGAATGAAGCCTTATTAAGTGACGTTCAGGCGAAGACACTATAATATTACCGTCTATAAATGCATAGTTGCTCATACAGTAAGTGTTTTTGCTAACTTACATTACTAGACGTGAGTTATTTTACCATTCTGGGATTTCCAAAACCATCAGATAACAATGTTCCAGCTACCTTAAAGCCTAAAAATGCTTTACTCGAGATGAAGCTCAAAGGTTAATACTATGCGATTGACTTTTACAAGGAATACCAAGTCATTCACTGTCGGTGGTGAACGATAGACTCTTCGGCTGGCATTGTAGAGTACTAAGAATCAATGGTTGGAGACTGTTTATGCCATGACTCAAAATACTTCAGAATGGCATAGATGTATTTACTGCGCGTAATCCTGTCCATGGTAGTAACATGACGTTCATGTTCGCCTTTTTATAAACAGCGAGGTGACACTTTTGGACAATGCTCTACACTGATTCACCAATCAGCCGGTTTGTAACAAACTACCATTTCTATTTTTTATGTAATGGATGATGACTGAAGGTGAAATGAAAACTTTCATTGCCGTAAGATTTGCACCGGTGACCTCAAGGTTACTAGCCCGGTGTTCCTCGAAATGAACTACAAGGCCTTATCTCTTTTAAATTCATTAAGATTGAGAGATCTAAGTGGTTAACCAATGTGGCGATAAACAGAGAGTGATATGTCATTTATTCCTGACAGCGGGACATTACCCATACTGGATGTAGTGAAGTTATGACCTGGTTAGCAGTTGGTCACATATACAGCTCAAGTGGTGTACTAGCCGGCTAGTAATCCAATCCTGCTACGAACCAAGTTTTAGTTATACCTCTAGTCATCGCCTATTACGCAAATTATTTTTCAATCCAAAGCTACCTTAAACAGTCTCAAGATCATTGTTCTTCATTTATTCGCACCAACGGAATTGTCCAGGAAAATTAAAAGTAATATGCTGACAATCTAACGTTAAATAGGACGTGATAAATTATGAGGAAACAGTTACGCCGGTGTATATACGCGCACATGCAAACGACTAACATTATACACTTTATTTCACACATTAATATGTTCTTATCTTTGTTTGAACGATAATTGTTCGGTATTTATCACTATTATATTAACGTTGTCTTTGTACTTCATATAAGACATCAAGTCTTAAGACAAGCCATCTGTATTTTAACAACAGCTAAGACTGCAGTGTCAGCATCAACTGTGAGGGTTACGAAATCCATAGGCAAGTTAATTCATACAACAAAAATTCACACTTTCCGGTATCCAGAAAAAAAGTTGGGTTTAAAAACAAAACCTGATATGAGACTCAGTCAAAAAAGCAGGCTTTATCAACGAAGTTTCAATGTGCATTTCCAACTGAAGCGTATAAACAAATACTCACCTGTTCTTCCTCCTGAGGTGTAAAGTCACACTTGATATTGAAAGTTTTACGTATTTCTTCTGGCGTTTTTCCTTTAATCATATTAGCAACAGTTTTGCAGCATACATCCAGAAGTCCCCTAATATCCAAATAATTGGCCGCTAGCATGAGTTCAAATAACGTCCCTTGATCAACACGAAGAAACTCTTGATCCCAGCTAGGAATATCATCTGTACGTCGTTCTTTGTTTTCGTCGTCTTCCTGTGGCGGTGGATCATCCTTGTGATAGGTACACCACTGAATAACTTTCCGCAGAATTCCAGCATTAACATTAGGTAAGGGGACTGGTTCTTCATCTCCCTGATCTTCTATTCCCAAGTCTACAAGTGATAAATTATTATTTGAACAGTCACGAACAACATTTACAATTCAAGTTGCCTTTGCGATTAAAAACTATTTGAGTTTACACAGTTAACAATCTAAGCAGCTACAAGCGTTGGAATTAAGAAAAACACTGATTAAGGTATAACCAGTGTTACTCTCAGGCAAGTACTTCATTGGTTACGCTTCGTTACAAGACTAAATTTAAACATTATAGGACACAATAGGCATGTATTTGGGATGTGAAATCACAAGAAATTACGTGCTAACCTGACAAGTAAAAGCAGTCTAAAATCCAACGGTTAATTGGAAACTACGGTGAATTGAACCTATGTAATCATGTGAGAAATGTTACAATATCATTCCTAATGGATAGAAATACAATATATAAGGCTTCACCTTATAGACTGTGCCCGGTAGATGGCGGAGTTCGAAAAAAGAACGGTCCATGGTCCCGGCATAACAAACACAAACTTGATACAATATGAGCAACAAGAAATGCATCACATGAGACATAATAAAACAGTAATGTGAGGAAAATAAAAATAGAGTAAATGAGCTATAGCATCAAGAAAACAACTGAGCATAATTTCCAAAAGTATTAAATGGATGATTTGTTACTTCGTGTTACTTTCAAAAAGAAGAGGAAGGAATCAGAGAACACCCATTATTTATAACATCTCAAGTCACTGATTTGAATTACCTTCTGGGAGCCGTGATGCACCAACATATGCTAACTTAAAGCAAACACTCTTCATCCTACGGCGCCACGTCATGGGTTGACTACCCTTCCGCTTGTTCTTTCTAGTCAGGACTAGCAAACAGTGGACAGTATGGGTAACCCTGGGGTGACACTCGTAGCACATGTTCGAGCCACCGATGCCGGTGTTCCAGGATGACAATTTTTATTTGAAGGCTGCGCCTACCGTATACAAACACCGCCGGACCTTGGAATTACCTGCATGATGATGACACTGGGTGCAAGCAAATTTACGGAAGCAGTGACCGATTACGCAGATTCGCTGCACAACCTCAGTTCGGAGGTCAGGTTTCACGAAACATAAACATGACTTTTAACGGATGGGTCGACGTTGCCAGAGGCGGCGAGGGTGAGTGTAGGTACAGACCCTTGCTGATCATCCAATAATACTTCACTTAACGGAGAAATCTGATTATGTGCATAGCGAACTAACACGATATTGTCTTCACTTTCACAGCCTCTCCACACAGGAGGCCCACACCACCACAGCCTTCACGCTTGTCTCTAGTATGTCATCGATGGCAAACTTGAGGGGAAATGGGAAGCTTGGGTAGCAATATCCGTCAGAATACTGCCAGAGTCCACTGGATAACAAATGTCTTGTCAGCTAGAATGTATGGCAATCCGTTCCCACGGCCATTCACACGTAAATAGAGACCATTCAAAGAGAGCCTTACGCCCAACTTCGTTACGCTTAAGTTAATATTATTATTCTCCATAGTTGTAAGTGCTGCGTACGGTTTCCACAATCATACCATTGAGGATGTAGAAGCCACATCTGGGAAGATAATTACCAGCATTAAGCAATAGTTTCACAATAAACGTCACTAAAAATTGCCGTGAAGCCTGCCAACAGAGAAATGTCATGAGCTTGTTCAGTCTACATTAGATGTCAATCATTTTAATGGGTTTCTGTACACCACGCGAGTTGTTTTCTCTCGCCGAGTACAAATTAAGAGCATGTATAAACTCTTCATTGAGTAACATTTCGTGCCCCAAAAATGTAGACTGAGGGCGAAATGAGTATGCTTACACAATAGTGCATGCTTGTTGTCGACAGTACATAAAACTTTCGTGTCATGAATTTTACTGTTAACACTAATCGATAATATCACTGTACCCGAAGCTTCCTAGGCTACTAAAATTGTGGAGCAAAGCGTAGGAAGCTGATTTGGTTGTCTTGAGGTTAAATTTAATATACAGTCTGGTCTTAGAATGAGATTTCTTGCTCTTCTTTCAAGAGAAAATGTGGCTCCCTAATTGTCATTCATCTAACTATCAAAAGGTTTTGAGTTGGCATTTAGCCCTACCAACCTCAACCCAAGCAACTAGGTAGTATTATTAGACATATAAAAAGTGTAGATTATATCCTTGAACTCTGAAAATCTATCCCAACTAACTGAATTGCAAATGAGTAACAATAAAGATGTTACTGTGAATTCTTGCCTTCGGAGCTAGGTGTACGTCTAGTAGATAAGTCTTAAACCCGATTCCAGTAGTAATAACTAAGTATTCAGTTACTATGGTATGCTAGCTGTGGAATTCTGGCCAGAATTTGAAGTGCAGTGAGGACACTTCTAACAAAACTTGGGGTGAACTTTATAAAACTTGTGTAAACCTACAGCGCAGTGGTGACAGTGGGCAAAACTAAGAGAACCTGCAGTATAGGCGTAATGTTAGGTGCTCTGGGGACCCTTTTGTTAAAAACAAGAGTGTAGGTCTTCTTGGCAACTTCGAGCAATTCAGTCAGGCATCCACGTGTGCGTTCTAAGTTGCCCGATGCCTCTGCTAAATAACAGCGCTGGAGGACATTGCTTACAGTAACTGGATAACACGATCGATTTCGATCTTATCCAGTTATATACAATATACAAGTAAATTCTTACCGTCCAACATAGTTTTGATGGTGACAGACTGCTTTGCGATGGCAACATCAATATCAAACACCTCCCCATCAGAGCTGGCAAGTTTTATTGACGGCATCTTGAATTTTTGTATGAACCGCGGTAACCTCGGCGATCTGTACTTCCTAACAAGATTGGAGAGTTTTAACAAACACAACTTCAAAAAATAATTTTCATTGTCAGGACGTGCAAACGAAAACTTAAGGCAGAGTGTTATTGTATAGTAATACAAGATGGTAAATTTGGAAATGGAGTGATCTTTGTGCACTCTCTTCACAACCCAGCTTTTGTTGTGTAATACACTACAAAGAATGGCTTCATTGCATTTCCCCGCTAACTGTAGAGTTCGTGTCTGTTGCCATGTTGGCTTAGTAACAATTTATTTTTTTGTATGCTTTTTAAATGAAATTTCACAATAAAAAACATTTTTGACTCACAAAATATCTGCAGTATGATGTACTGCGTTACATTTGCAGCACTTGTATCAGGAAATGTCGCTTGATACTGATATCTGAGCAATGTGATGGATTAAATAAGGTAGGATGTTCAAGATTTAAACGTTTATTTTTGGATTTTTCATGGAATCATGCTGGTATATACGGCCTATTTATTGAGACGCTACTGTCTTAGTTGGTTTTGTAGTTGTTGGTATTCATAGCCAAATTTCAGCATAAATTTAGGTTTTCATCTACTCATAACAGTCATATTTTCATTTTAAGACAAAAAGCATCGACACTGTGGCCATAATGTGTAGCATTATGGTGAACTTGTGTTTCAAGTGGCCTTTAATTTGAGGGAAGATTTAATTGCTACAATATTCCTATTTCGTGGACATAATATAGGCTCATGTGTGAAAGAAACTTATTACCTTATTTGAAATAAAGACAAGTTATTCAGAAGTCGAAGAAGGCTTTATTTTTCAGTTTGTTTGTATAGATACTATTGCACATCGAGTTGAAGTGCAATCTCACATGAAGCAAGATATTGTGAATGCCTTGCTCTCTTCTCTGCATAAATAACACTGGAATTACTTCACGAGACTCTCCATATTGAGTTCAGTGAGGACGAATAGAAGTTTTTCCAATTTGCTGCCATGAGTTAATTTGGGAACTGTGTAGGTTTTTACAGTAATACATTTGGCAAGCAGACTTCATCTAGAAATCAAAGGTGTACATGTTTTATCAGATCCTACGCACTTCCTGTATAAATTTTATGCTCGTCAAGTGGTCATTTAACAGCTGCTAAACGCTGCAATTAATCTAGAATTATATTTTGTAATTCCGAGGATTGTTGTCATTCTCATCGTCAGCAGTCCCCGATCTACTGAGTCTACACAACCACAATAACCATTTCCCATTGAACTGGTGTAGTATAATATGGTGATTAATATTGGGGTATAGTGTTAGGTAGAGATGTGACTCCAAGTCGTTGTCAATGACACAGATGCAGTCAATTTGTGTGATCTCACGTATCTGATCAACCCTTGTCAATGGACGTGAACACTGAACGTTTGTTTATTGGAACTGGCAGCCATTGGTGGGCAACTCAAAGAAGCGAATAGTACGATCGTGTGCAAGTTGGAAGAAGGTGGAAAGAACACGAATAAAAGTACTTTGTAACTTCATTTGTACTTAACATTTGTTTGTAGACTTTGTAGTTGTCTTCACTTTAATTGCCAAACAATATAATTTCGTTCAAGGAATACTGGTGTTTTGGATTTAAAGTTGAAAGCAATACGTAGTATTTATCGGTTCAATCGCCTACGTCTTCATGGCAATACGAACCTAGGGCTAAGTTCCTTGACAACCCTTTTGTTGCATTCTCATCCTTACCCGTTCTCCATCACATTTATACTCATTAGAGTTCGATTTGATTTCTTTCTTCCCAACCTTTGTGTACTACATGGAAAGTGGTAACTTGAACAAGTTCTTCTATGTTGAAAGTCAGTCAGAATGACATATAGTCTCGGTATAACGAAATTTTAAAAGGTGGATAATAATAACCGAAATGTCAACAAATGATAATCGTATTTTTTCATTTGGCTCTTGTCTAAATGAAAAAGAGTTTTCTTACAATAATTTCTCCTGTTACCCGGGATAACTTTTACACTCTGTCTCGTTGTATCTCAAGTGTTCGTTCTTTCTATCTCACAGCCTAAATGCTAAGTCGAAATACATCTGATGAAATATATTTTGCTTATCACCAACCAAATATTATATTTTTCAATTGTGGAATGTAACAAATCGAAATGCTGCAGTTTTAAGCTGAGTTCTCTGTTAGAACTCAGTTAGTCAGCATTTGTCACTACAACTGCCTAGTGTCACAACTCGCTACAGTGTTAATTGACTTAAACAGTTATTAATGCGGTTTTCCAAGTACTCTATGCATTTCTCTATTCTTTAAATTGTCCAGATAAAGTGCACCGAAGAAGAATCCATGAACTAGAAGTCAGTAATACGGACACAAAAAATAGTGTGAACAGAAGTGAATGAGATGAGTGACTTTTTACCACTATAGTTCGCTTAACTAAAACACTCATGTATATGAATGTGTAGCGGTAAATAATTTCGAAAATTATTGACCACAGCAATCATCACTGAATATTGGATGCTGACCCTCACTGTTTAAGTCGACTTGTTTAGCTGAAGGCTTCCGGCCAAGCATCCATGCCATCCGGTACTCCATCGTGTCACGTTCGTGCACGATCACTAACCAGTCAAGCATTCATCTTGGTTTACGATTTGGTCCCGAAATATATCTCGTACTTTGGACGATCATTTGTGGCGTTTTGCTTTGTCTTTGGTACATGAGGAAGGAGTACTATAGAGGTTGTTGGTATAAGATCTTGCGTTATTATACTCCGTACGATTCGCGAACGTCAATACCGTCAGCCTCTAAAAATGAAGCAAAAGTTGTGACTGACTTGATACGATTATGATCAATAATTTGGGCTCGAAACGTCATCAGATAATATTACTGTACAACACTGTGTGATTTATGAAAATAAAATCTTTTCCATAATATTCAGTCCTATTCTTTCATAAAATATAACTTCTCCGAATATAATTGTCCATTATAGTTAGTGTCTACTTAAGCGCCACTTTTATCGCATCTTTGCATTTACAGTATTTGTATAGCGTGTCTTTGTACTCTAGTTCAACATTTTTATCCGTATAAACAGTTAATTGCATACAGAACTAGGCAGTTTAAATCTCCAACACTCTAAAATGGACCTTACAGAGACTTTGCTTATTCTTTTATATTTAGGAATTTAAGCTGTTCAAAATGCCAATGGTCCAAACTAAGCGTCTCACTCCACTGTGTGCTTCAAATCCCGGTGAAAAACACAAACCAAATAGGCCTGCAGTAAGTGAGAGCACTACACCCAGTGATTTGACAACTAAATACATGTCTGCTGCAGTACATACGTTAAGTCCGGACATTAAACTGCCCTCAGCATCATGGATGGTATACATAGTGATACTACATTTAATGATCCAGGCATCATAGACTCCTATAAAGCGTCTTGCGATATGAATCACATGGCAAATATTTTGACTCCTATCACTAATCCAGTTTCTTGTTCTACACCTACTTGTGCAGATAAAATCGAAGAAATATTTTCTATTATTAGGGGGCTTGAAGTTAAGATATCAAAACTAGCTCTTTCTAGTGAAACCGGCAGTAGTAGTGTGGTGAGAGCTGGCTGCTAGCCAAATTGGTAGGCAGTAACTGACGTCAATGTTTATGTCCCAAATATTAGTCTTGTGAAAACAAGGTCAAAGATGGACAGCAGACTTTGCTTAGGCGGATACAGTTAGCATATGGATGATCTGACACAGCCACAAAGAGATGCAAGGTTAACTTTCTGTGAGAAACAACCAATCAAAAGACTGTATTTTCTACTAACAATAATCTACAATAATGTGCATTAAAATCTATAAATATGTGTTGATTTTCTTTAATACACGATCTGTTGTCTGGCCCTTGTCTTCTGTTGTTACAGTAGTACTTCACCTAATATGTTACCACTAACCGTAAACCTGATAAACTACCTTGCAACTGAGGTATATCAACGTGTAGTGCGCGAGAGGAACATAGCTGTGTATAATATACAGGTTAATGCACAGATCAACAAGGTGAAGAGCAGCCTTCTAAATGCATGCTCTATGAATAATGTCTCATGCAGCTGCCATCGACTCAGAAAAATAAATATCTCCCACTTATGTTGAAATGTGACTCGTCCTCTAATGCTGACATCTTTTACAGAAGGCGAACATTACTGAAAAATACGCGTTACCATACGATTAAGTTAGCTCGTGACAAAACACAGATCCGAAGAATGACTTATATGACTGATCCTAAAACCGTGAATCCCAGCTCCTCTACAACACCCCTGAGCTCCCAAACTTCTGTTGAGACACAGCAAAAGGGTGTGGATCTTTCTTTACAAAGTACATCGTATTCGGAAACGAACTTGCGTGAAAATATAAGGTCCGAAAATGGTTCAGTGTATAGCCGTACACTAAGAAGGAAATCGACCGTAAATCTAGACTCCTCTGAAAACGATCCCTGTACCCCAATGACAAATTGCAGTATATCATACCCAGTATTCGCCAATCCAAGTAGTCTCAATTCCAGGAAATTGCAGAATGCGGCTACCAGTTAGTCCATAAAGACAATGCAGAATAAGAGACAAATGCCACACACTAATTCAGACGACCACAGCGTGATATCACACGTCTCTCTAGAAACAAATATTCACAAAGCCGGCAGGTATAAAAACCGTAAAACAGAATCCGAGCCTCGTCGCTGCCTGTCCAAAAAATCGAGCCCTCGTGCCATCATAAATAATAAGATTGAGACACGTAACTATAGGCCGTGGAATAGTGGTAAGGTAAATGGCAACAATTCGAATCAGTTTAGCCTGCTTGGTAGGCCGCCTCCACTTATTTACATGCCCACACCCAACGGGGCTGACCATCCAGCGGTCAGCAGTTTTGCTGAAACATTAGCATTTTTTATTCAGGTTCACAACATGACCTCAAACATACTACAAATGCTCACCACTCTCCACAGGTTTCGCCCCCCGATAAAGATATGACAGCTGATACAGCAATGCCTAATTACTGCCTCGAGTTCTCGTTACATGACTCAGGTAATTCTCTTCTTCATCAACAACCCTCTATCTACTTTTCTTCTGACAACCAATCTTTTTACGCCCGAACTTGCATAAACACGAAAATATAATTCACCCCCTGCACTTCTAGCTTTCCTAGCGCATCTACAGAAATAGACATTCCATTGTCGTCTGAGGA